TCACATTTAAAACCATATACTTATAGTTCTTTAAAACACTATAGCTAGATTTGAATAAAGTGAATTTCTTTTAAAATAAATGTAATATATTGAGTACATGTGTGTTTATCTAGATAACAAAAAGGAGTTTAAAAATTGAACAAAAGTTTACTTACATATATAATGAAGTAAGCCTACATGATGGAGAAAAAAACATCACAAAAATCAGTCAATACTCAAAAAAAAAAAAAAAATTTCTTTTGAAGAATGTTTGTTTGAAGAGTCAATTTGTATAAATGTACATCAAACAAATAACAAAACTTTGGCTATACAATTGCTATCATTAATTTCGATTTAGCACCTTCTAGGAATTGAAGGGTATAAGCTGAAACCTCTTCATTTAGCTGCAGTCAAGCCAACATTGCAAAGGTATAATATTTTTTTCGTTGAAGAATATTAGTTTTGAATCATTAGATTGTGTGAAGATTTTTTTTCTCGAATTCATCATTAGATTGTGTGAAAGATTTTTTTTCTCGAATTCATCATTAGATTATGTGAAAGGTTTTTTTTTCCGAATTCAACAAAAGGAGTATTGGTTTCTAATTGATAGTTTTTATAGCGATTTTCAAGTGTAACAAGAAGTATATGTTTTTAAAAAAATTGTATGACGTGAAATATTTTTTTTAAATGTAAAAAAATTATTCAAAAGGAGATTATTTTTTAAAATATAATTTAATTTTAAAAATAAAAAAATAAGATATTTTTGAATTTTAGTAGAGAATTTTTAAAATTATTATAATAGAAGTCATATCATGGATAAAATCAAGAAACCGAAATCCTATGGAATATTTACATAAATATCTGGTCGGATGTATTCTTTACTTTTTATAGCTAATATACATAGATGATATCACACACGATTATACACATATTATATATGGCTTATATATAAATTACACATCCTTCAATTTTTTAATTTAAGTGGTTGGGTGAGCACTTATTTAGGTTGATTAGATAAAGCCAAAAGAAAAATATGAAAGAATTTCAACCAAAGACTAAAAATATAAATAAAGTTCTTATGTGGACAATTTCTATTAAAACTCATCCTTTTATAGAGAATTAAATTATTTTTTTGTAACAAAATAAAAAAGACATAAAAAATAAGATAAAAGAAAATAAATATAGAATAAAATGTATGAAAAAACTAAAAATCAGAAATAAGAGATAACAACGAATTTCTTCTCTTGTTTCATCTTTGTTGAGTATAAAAATTTGAAAGCTGATCTCATCGATTTCAATTATTATTTTCAACTCAAATACATAGATTATAAGATAAGGATATCTTAGAATATATTTTTTAATGTACATTATGTGTTGTTTTTAAAAAATTACTATTACTAACAAACTGATATGATATTCGAATTTGAGTAGTCTTCATTGAGGTTAAGCCAAGTATGGTGTCGAAAAAAAACTAGTTGGCAATTTTAAGATAATATATGCAGTGTTATATAATAACAATCAACTAATTTAACATTTAATGATTCAAAGAACAAAAAATTTGTATGCATAACATATTCAAAATTTAAAATTTGTGACTAGAGATATCGATAAACTCAAAACAGAGTCATACTAAAATAAAATTTCACTGGACAAAGAATCATAGAAATTTTTAGATAGCCCATTAAAGTAGATTTTAAATTCAGGATAATATCTTTACTTGCATCATTATAAAGATAATCATTATTGAAATATATATAAAGTTTTAGAAATTGGAATTTCAAAATAGAAATATTTTTTGAAGGATAACAACATACCAAATAAGAGTTCAAGTCGTAATAAAAGAGTCACGTCATAACCAAAGAATCGTTCATATTATATCAACCTTTGTGCTTTTCCATAAATACGAGTTATTATTTCGCTTTGTGGCTATTAAGTTCCAATGAAACCAATGATAATGGTGCAAAAATAAAATTATCACTACAAGATTTGAGAAAATGTTAGTCTTTTTTTATTTAGTACTTCTTAGTTAATATCTAACGGTTATCTATAATTATATAGAATGTTTAAATTTTAAGGTTATTTACATATAATTCAAATAACTCACATATTTAACATGGTTAATGTCAGATATCAAAATTGAGTCATACTTAGGGAAAAAAGCTCACTAGCTAAATAATTTTGTAAATGTTTAGATAGCCGACTAAAATGAGTTTGAATTAAGGATAATATTTTCACTTCCATTATTATAAAAATAATTATTATCGAAAAATAAAGTTTTAGAAACTGAAATTTTAAAATAAAAATATTTTTTGAAAGATATCAACACACCAAATAAGAGTTCAAGTAATAGTGAAAGAGTCAAGTCATATCCAAAGATTCATTCATATTCTCAACCTTTGATTATTTTGCCATAAATATGAGTTATTATTTTGCTGCCCGACTATTTTTAGGATCCAATGACACCGGCGAGAATGGTACAAAAAAAATGAATTTATAATTAGGAGATTTGAGAAATAATTAATTTTTTTATGTAATATTTTTTAATTAATATCCAATAATTATTTATATTTATCGAGAAAATTTAAAATTTAAGATTATTTACATATAATCTAAATAACTCAAATATATTGCTAATACTAATAGAGGTAGAAACTAGTAATTTGCAAGTATATTTACCGGTCAGTTGCCTCCAAATAAAAGAAATAGAAAAAAATAAAAAAGACCGAAGTAGGAAAAAAGAAAAAAAGAAGAAATGGGTAGAGACTCCGGTTCAGTGTTTTGGATCTTGCTCTTTCATGGAAGCTAGAAGATGATGGTATACTCTGTTGTGTTTATAGAATAGTCCCACTCACTCCTCAATCATTCTCTCTTGTGATCTCTCCTCCGGAGTGAGTAATCATAATCATGGCGACATCCGATAAGCAGAACACGTTGGATTACATCAACCAGATGTTTCCCACTGGTAACCTTTTACTTTTTAAAAATCTCAAGCTTAATTTACTATACAGATTTATTGAATTAGGGTTTTAGGCCAATGCTGCTGATGTTCTGAATGTTCCCTATCTGAATCTGACGTAGTTAATTTCTGAATTTAGACTTCTACGAAAAAACTGAATTTACAGCGTTTTGGTTGAGATTTCGGTTTGAACTGTAGGAAATTTAATTTTTTCCCAATTTCAGGTTAATTATATCAGATTTATATCTATAAAGTCTCACTTTAGATTGTCCTCACTATCAAATGGTGGCATATGTATTAATTTTTTGAAGTGTTTGATTTGTAGCTGGGACATATAGCATTGCTGGCACTATTGACTGATTGAGCATGAGCAACTATATTTTATTTTATTTTACTTTTTGGAGTTATATGTCACGCTAACTTGGTATCTCGTTGAACAGTATAGATTTGCACTAACAATCTATACAATATTGGGTAGCCTTTTTAAACCAGATTTTAAATTGAAACCAAATGGAGGGCCTAACTCTCAAAAAAATTCACATCAACCAAAAAAATCCAACAAGAGACGATCAACTTTAATATTATTGAGTTAGTTACATTGATGAATATAGAGAAATGATGTGCCTAGAAAGTCCATAGTAGAGTAATTGCAAATGCTTTTCTTGTCTTATGTGAAAAGGACGGAAGAAATTCACCCTCCGTTAGATCAATGGATACTAGAGTCTTGGAAGGAACCATAAGTTATAAGTTCCACAAGTGTCAAGGTGATGGCTCAGATACTTTAGAAGATTTGAAAGGAACTTTCTCTAAGAATTTGAAATGGACTGTAAACCAAAGCTACTTCCAATAAAAGTAAGTCTTTATTTTTCACTGGAAGCAGGTCGGTGGAATTTCAAAAAAGATTCTGAATTCAGCTGAAAGCCCATGAAGAACCCGTGTTTTCATATTAAAAGAACCAAACCAAACTTACTACACTTCAGTTTAGTTTGCTTATTCATAAATCCAAAAATTGAATCTGAAATAGCACAAGAGCGAACCAGAAAACCACATGCACATCCCTACTCTTCAAGGTTTAAGGGAGAACCACTTTAGAGTTTAGAGGACAGATCACATTTGAAGATGCAATTTCTTATTAGAAGTTGGACTATAGTAATGTTTCCCTTTTATTCAATCAATTAAAACAATAATACTATCTGCCAGAGATGTGACAGGTTGACAAGAGTGACTACATGACGAGATGACTTTTACAAGCTTGTTTGTATAGGAACAGAGAGAAAAGGTGACCATTTGTAGTACTGTTCCTGCCACATTACATTAGATTTACTTAGTTTACTTTTCCTTCTCTTTTTCAAACTCGCGTTAATAATTTATAGATAGTATGATGATAAGGATCTTTGTTTTATTGATCAAACATCAATTTATAGCCTTTTCTGTTTCACATTTGTCTTTGATCCATTTCACCAGTTATATTTTTTGCTGCTGAAATCATTTCTCTTTGCTCCCTTCTTTTCCTTTTTCTTTGGGATAACTGCAGTAAATCCATTCATAAAATTGCGTGACAAAAGAGGTGTAATAAGTAGACGTTAGAGACAAGCATTGGGGGATTCATAAAGTCGACCATTTATTTGTACCAATTGATGGTGTGAAAGTAAAAGTAGAAGTAGTTTTCTCAAGATTAGGTTGAAAGTCTCATTTCCTTGCCTTGAGTTTAGTTGGACTTTGAAGGAATATTGAGGCATTAGATATGCATTGAATGTTCAGTACAGGGTTGTGTCGCGTGAAGATTAGTCTTTGCTCATTTAAGGACGGATTAAAATTTTTTCTCTGGAGTTTGTAGTTGTTCTTTCGTATGATATATACAACAACAACAACATACCCAGTATAATCCCACATAGTGGCAAAGTTAAATGACAAAGTTAAATGGATAATGGACTTTTCCTTTTAGGTGGTAGTTCTTTGAGGATATTCACTAAAAGGGTAAAAGGATAGAGGGAGTTTGAAGTTGATCTAGGTGGTAGTTCTTTGAGGATATTCACTAAAAGGGTTAAAGTATAGAGGTAGTTTGAAGTTGATCTAGGTGGTAGTTCTTTGAGGATATTCACTAAAAGGGTTAAAGTATAGAGGTAGTTTGAAGTTGATCTTAAGAGTGTCTTTGACATTTTGCAAATGAATCACTAATACAGTTCCTTCTGGCGAGCTATCCATAATTGCAATGTGACAATATTTGTTTCTAATATAATTGATGCCGGAAATGTATGAGAGCGTTATATGGTTATTTCCGGAAGGAACTAGTATCTGTGGATAGTGGAGAAGAAGGTGAGTTTTGGGCATTGACCACCGGAATCCTGTTGCAATGGCAAAAAATTTGGTTTACAGTCCACATCTACTCTCGACCAGTAATAGTTAACCTGTAAAATGGCAATATAACTGCATAAGGTTTATGTTCCTCTAATGGAAACAAAAAATGTCTGAAATGTAAGAATTAAAAGCTTACTGGTGATCCACTAAGGCTTAAAGTTTCAAAATATTTGAGAGCTAGGTGTAGTTTTTGAACAACTACTCAATGACATATGTCTCAAATATAATTTAAGACTTGATATCATTATCCTGGCTAAGCTTAAGCATGCTTATCTTAGTCAAATTTGTCGGTTTCTCCAAAAATTAGTTGACACATGAATGATGTGCAGAAGCATCTCTATCTGGCGTTGAGCCCCTTATGCAGAAGATACATAGTGAAATTCGTCGTGTTGATGCTGAAATACTGACTGCTGTTCGGCAACAGGTGAATTTCTTGTCACTTATATATCTTTCTCTATCCTTTGCCTTGCTTGTCTTTGGGTACAAATATTAACATATGATTACATCATTTTATATGAATGCTGATTATAACCTTTAGTCTGCAAAAGCTGATGCCTCAAGTAGAAAGCTCATTGTAAACAGACACCAAAATCCCATCAGTAGTTTCATTGTTCTTTTACTTAATTAATTGACAAAATCTTGACTATTCTTAAAATTTAGAAGAACTACTCTCTGATGTTACACCATGTAAAATTAAAAGATAAAAGGTTTCATTGTCATATTGGAACAAGCTATGAATCAATCAACTATGCCTCAATTCCAAACTACCTGATGTGGGGAGTATAATCTTTTATATCCATTCTACTCTACTCATGTCCAATTCATTCCGTATTATGATAAGTGATAATGTTAAAAAGGTGATAAGTTATTTTGAACATCCATCATATGTGGTTCCATTTTTGTTTCTGATCATGGTTGACAATTATCAAGTGAAAAATTGAAGCTATTTGATTAACATTCAAACATTTTCATGAATGACGAAAGCTAGATGAATTTGTAACAACTGTCAGATAAACTGTATAAACAGTTTGCATTTATTTGAGGTCCTTATATGCAATTTGTGGTTATCTGATTGCCCACTGTTGCTAACAATGTGGCCCTAGTGACAAGGCTAAGACAGAAAAGACTTTTAGATCATGTATTCAGTTCTTTGTAATTCACCTTTTTTTTCATAAGTATAGAAAATTATAAGAAAAGAAGATTGCCGCTGAATATTTTTGGACAATCTGTTGTTTAGATTCACTACCTTTTGTATACCGCTTTTATATAGGGTGTTTTTCCCACACATCAATGAAAGTATTACTTCATCAAAAGAAAACTTTCTTGGACAATCTGTACCAGAATGCAGGTTGGACAGTAAATTCTATACCTCTGAGATTGTGTTAAAAGTACTTTAATGTTTTCACCACATCGTATGATGCTTTTATTTCTTTTTAGTTATTTTTCTTTTATTTGGTCAATTTGAAGGTATGAGAGAAAGAGAGATAGGAGAGATGGGAAACTTAGAATGTTAAATTCAGCTAGATCACCTAATTAATAAATTGCTATCAATATTTCTGCTGATCAATGAAGCTTCATGATATTTGCTTTCTGATTTATGTATTCATTATATTTTGTCCTTTCATTTTTTCAGAGTAATTCTGGAACCAAAGCCAGAGAAGATCTTGCTGCAGCTACGAGTGCTGTGCAGGTCTTTTCTTTAGACTTTCTCTCGTCTCTGTTGTATGGCAGAAACTTTAACTGTGTGAAGAATAAAATCTACTGGCTCTAGATATAGTAAAATCATCTTATATTACTATTTGTATTTTGGGGGTTTCTTATTCACTATTTGACTTTTTTAAACCAGGAACTCATGAATAAGATTCGAGAAATTAAAACCAAAGCAGAGCAAAGTGAAACAATGGTTCAAGAAATATGTCGCGATATTAAAAAATTGGATTTTGCAAAGAAGCACATAACAACCACGATTACTGCCCTTCACCGCCTTACCATGCTAGGTTAGTGTCATCTTTCATTGTGAAGGTTCTTCTTTTGCATTTTCTTTTGGCTTTGCACTTGTAAAAAGACTGCTGGCAAATCATTTCCTTCTCCATGCTTGAAAAGTATATTGTTGAAGCAACAAGTAAATCTTTTATTATTTCAGATACTATATGCACTTTGTTATCTGTGGAAAGCGGTGTCTGAATTTTATTATTTTATTATGTATAGAATAGGAATCTTCTGTCTGCACAAGCTTTTCTTCAGATGCTACGCTTGTTTGGGTAAAAAAATATTTTGAATTTTGAGCATGTGGTTTGTTACCTTTTAAGCAAGGTAGATGTTATGGGATAATGAATTGGTGTGGAGAGACTTCCATTTAGAGACTTAAGCGTTCATTTTTTCGATGAGTGTGTAAAATCAAATCTTGTCCATATTTTTTCAGGAATTAGGGGAGACCCTTTGAGTGTAAGTGAAATGTTCTGCACCTCCTTTAATCTCTATATCCTTTTAAGTGCTCAAGACTTTGCTAGATGGCTGGATCACAACTTATTCTCATAGAGAGAAAGTAAAGATGGCTCATTCGTGTTATTGTGCAACGAGAAAATACTTTGACTTTCGTTTATGGATGTTTTGGGTTGAAAGAGAGGAATAGAGAGGGATGGACTCTAAAAAAAGAAAAGAGAGGAGAAAAGTGATAGTCGAAGTTGTTGGCCATGGGGGCCTAGAGGAGTCGGGGGGCGCGAGTAGTATATGGACCACGACTGCGAACTGCATTAGAGAAGTTGCTAGAGTGGTGTTAGGGGTCACGAAAGGATATTCGGGGGGCCACAAAAGGGACTGGTGGTGGAATGGGGAAGTCCAAGGAAAAATGGATGCCAAAAAAACGGCATATCTGAAGCTAGTAGAAAGCACGAACGAGGAGGAGAAGAGAACTTATAGGGAGTGTTATAAGAAGGCTAAAGGAGAGGCGAAATTAGCAGTCCCGACGGCTAAGACTGCAACATTTGAACGGATGTATGAGGATCTTGCGGGGAAAGGTGGGGACAGGAACCTGTACATGTTAGCCAAGATTAGAGAGAGAAAGGCTTGGGACCTGGACACAATGAGGTGCATCAAAGATGAAAATGGCAAGGTATTGGTAAAAGAGGCGTGTATTAGGCATAGGTGGCAGATGTACTTCCATTAACTCTTGAACGAGGAAGGAGACAGGAACATCGTCCTCGATGAGTTGGAGAACTAGAGAGTCAGAGTGATTTTGGGTTTTATAGGCGTATTAAGGTTGTGGAGGTTGAGGAGGCAATGCTTAAGATGGATAGAGGTAAGGCGACTGGGCCTGACGAGATACCGGTAGAATTTGGAAGAGCGCGGGTCTGACAGGCTTGGAGTGGCTTACTGGTTTGTTTAATGTTATTTTCAGGATGAAGAAGATGCCAAAAGATTGACGGCGTAGTTTGATGATTCCGTTGTACAAAAACAAAGGTGATATCCATAATTGCAACAACTATAAGGGTATCAAGCTGCCGAGTCACATTATAAAAGTTTGGGAGAGGGTGGTGGAGAGGAAGGTGAGGAGAAGTGTGTCTATTTTCAAGAATCAGTTCGGATTTATGCCGTGGCGGTCAACTACCGAAGCCATAATACACCTTGTGGGGAGATTGGTGGAGCAGTATCGGAAGGGGAAAAAAGACTTGCATATGGTGTTCATTGACCTAGAGAAAGCCTATGACAAAGTCCCGAGGGAGATCCTATAGAGATGTTTAGAGGTTAGCAGTGTTTCAGTAGCATGCATTTGGGTGATTAAGGATATGTACGAGGGAGCTAAGGCTCAGGTGAGGACTTTGGGGGGTGACTCAGAACAATTCCCTGTGGAGATGGGGTTATATCAGGGTTCTGATCTTAGATCATTTTTGTTTGCCCTGGCGTTGGAAGTGCTGATGCGACGCATACAAGGAGAGGTTCCATGGTGTATGCTATTTGCTGATGACATAGTACTGATTGATGAAACGCGAATGGGGTTAATGCAAGGTTGGAGGTTTGGAGACAGACGCTGGAGTCTAAAGGTTTCAAGTTGAGTGGGTCGAAAACAGAATACTTGGAGTGCAAGTTCAGTGATGGGATGCCTGAAGTAGCAGGGGAAGTAAAGATTGATTGACAAGTCATCCCCAAAAGGGATAGTTTCAAATATCTTGGGTCTGTAATCCAAGGCAACAAAGAGATTGACTAGGATGTTACTCACCGCATTGGAGCGGGGTGGATGAAATGGAGGCTCTCTTGTGGGGTTCTGTGCGATAAGAATGTGCCACAAAGACTTAAAGGCAAGTTCTATAGAGTGGCGGTTAGACCGACTATGTTGTATGGGGCGGAGTGCTGGCCTGTCAAGAAGTCCCATGTCTAGAAGATGAAGTTAGATGAAATGAGGATGTTGAGATGGATGTGCGGGCACACCGGGAAAGACAAAATTAGGAACGAAGTTATTAGGGACAAGGTGGGATTACACTGTTTTTTTTTATTGTTGTAGTATTGTTTTTGGAGTGATTATGAAAAAGAAAAACAAAGGAATATGCGTAGTTTGACTTTTTGCACCCTTAGGGGTCGTGTGGTTGGGAACAAGTCATCCCGGGATTATAATGACGGTATTATAATACAAGAATCAAATAATGACAGGATTATTTAGTGAATATATACTTTTATTGGTAGATGTTTGGTTCATTGAACTAAAAATGGGATATACGGGGTATAATATAAAACATGTATTTGGTTTTACACTATATAAACTTGGATAAATTTTTATTTTCAATTTTAACCTTGGCTTTCTTAATAGACTTTGGAAGAAAGCTTTGAAGAAGCCAAATGTATGATTTTGTTGTTTTATCCCGGGATTAGTAATCCTGGGATCGTTACCACAGAATGTGAATGTGTGTTATAAAGTAATACCACAATTTTGGTGTAACTAATCCCAAGATTGCTTATACCTGAAGCAAAAATTCAACCATATGTAGGATAAAATTATCAGAACAAATTGTTTGGTTATTTTATCCCACATGCCATATGACATAACAATCTTATTCCATTTGGAACACTACTCGAAGCGGCTCATCTAGCACTTTGGTACATTTGAATCACCTTGGTATGATTTTAAAGGCTATTTACTTTGGTTAAATGATTGATTAAAAAATTAAAGTTCGTAGAGGTAAGGTTTGTAGGTGTATATAGATAAGCGGAATGAATGGAAACTTTAAAGACTGTTTTCCCATAGTTCGTTTGCACAAAGATCTTTATCTATGTTCTGTGACATCACGTTCCCCAGCATCAGATACTTTACTAGCCGTGGAAAGACAAAGAAATTCAAGTGTATGTGTTATTAAAGAGCATGATCTAACACAAATTTCCTCACAAAAGCAGATCATGGATAATGAGAAAAGGAAAATAAATTTCTGTTTTTATTAATCATAGACGTTATGTAATTTGACTTATCAACGAAGAGCATCTATGCATGCCTACTTTAGTCCAATAGATACATCATCTCAACACATTTCATTTGTCCTATGACAGTTTCTGCGGTAGAGCAACTTCAAGTAATGGCATCAAAACGTCACTATAAAGAGGCAGCTGCACAGCTTGAGGTATTTGTCTGTTGCTCGTCGTAACCTTTTCACTAACCTTCACCAATTACCATCGCTGCCAATATGCTACTATAACTGTTGCTTGTTGGAACAACTACACATGTTCTGCACTAGCTTTAGTCATACTTGAAACTTCTATTATTGAAAGATTATGCTGCTTGCTAAACCAGAGGAGCTGGATCCTATAAGAAAAGTGTTGTGTTGACCCATTGTTCTTACAGTACTGTGGTGTATAAAAGGAGGTTTTTGTTTCATTTTATTATTTCAGCTCACAAATTTAACGTTTATGTGGTCAATGTTAGTGTATGATTATAGGCTTCACTCGTCTTAACGCTTCATCTGGATGCTGGTGATTTAAAATTATACGTTTCTACACAAACGTTATTTTTGCACTGTAATGAGTTGGAGCTCTAGTTTAATCGCCACTAAAAATCCTTACAATTGTATGGTAAACTTTTCTTGAGAATACTCCTATATTTGACTTATCTCAAAAATGCACTTGTTCTTTTGAGCGCCCCCCCTTCCCACCTTTTTTCTTTTCCCCTCTTTGTGAGGTGAATTTAAGTTGTGTCCAATAGGTTAGCTTGAATACTGATATATTAGCAAACGTTCATTATCTTTCTTAGATACAGCTTATCTCTTTGTAATTTGTGTTTGCTGAAACAACTGTATGAAGATGTACATATCACTAAATGCCTTTCAGCAACTAACAAACACACACTTCTCGTGCTAATCTTCTAATGCCGTCTTTCTCCCCAAATAGTATGGATATGCTTCTAATTCCTATCTTGTGATGTTTCAGGCTGTAAACCAGCTATG